ATCCCAAACTGATCATACTAATTAAGTTATTCTTGGAAGATTGAGATATATTTTTCCCAAAATGAATTCATGATAGAAGCTTGTTGGGTTATTATATGGATGTGTGTGTCTATATATATCATAATTTCTTCCATCTTAAAATATTTTAAAAAATCTTAATTAATCAAAATGAAGAAGAGATCTTTATATATATGTCATTGAGATGCCCTCAAATAGCTCTAATCAAAATTAAGGTTTTCTAACAAGGGTGTGCTTGTCTTTCCAACACCTATTAATTAAACCTCTGGTAGAATTTTGGCTTTTAAGAATCTATCAAATTTTGCACCAATATTCAATAATAAAAGGAATTTGATGTCAATGTACAACACAAAACAAATAATATTGAACACCGATGTTGTGACACAGACTCCGATACTTAATTAGGATCAGAAGTTGAGGATTATAAAGTGTGGGGTTTCTTTTTCATATCTTAAGGATTCAACCTTACTTCAAATTTATAGGGGTTGAATTCTTGTACCTGCAGGAACCTAACCCTTCGAGCCCTAATACTTGTCGTGGGGCACATGTCGAATTGAAGATCCGTCGGCTCGTTACGCAATTTCATCCAGGCATGATAGCCTAGGCTCATTTTCCAAGATCATCAGATGGTCGCTGCCGCAAGTCTCAGCCTCATTGGGCCATCTATCCTCCATGGGTCGACCTTTGCATTTCAACTGGACTTCTGGGTCTAGGCCCTTTTATCCCGAGCCCATTTAGGATTTTTTTATAGCTTCGTCGAGTTTGATTTTATCTGTCATAACACTCATTAAATCAGTTCCCAACAATAATATTTAAGCCTCAACCTATAATTTTGTCTAAATAAAAAGAGGTGATCAATTCTGTTGGAGTTCCCCAATTAGTCAAGAAGACAACAAAAAAAAGGTTGATCAATATTACTTATAAACCCCAAGCCAATATTGAGGGTTCACACCAAGCATGTGGAGAGAAGCCATGGAAGAAGGGTACCCTATAAAATATAAAGTATATTTGGATTATGCTTTAAGGACAACCCAAAAAGAACAGCCAAACTGAGGCCCTCCATGAAATCTCTTGCACGTAAAGCACTTTTTTTCCCCATGTTTTCCCTTTTATATGTAATGGGGAATTACAATTACAATTACAACAGCCAACTGCCTACACACGTATAACATATTTAACTATATTTGCCGCCTAAATTGGAATGACCTCCATAATCCAAACAAATAATTGTCCCCTTCATCTAATTCTCAAAATAYGTCCCACCACCACTCCCCAATTCTATTCAACATCAGTGTCCCAATCACTCTCCAGCCCTTTAAAAAGACATATATTCCCCAGACATCATCAGTAACCTCGAAAGCCATAAAGCTACAGCCTTTAACATGGTCCTAGGTTCAATTCTCTCTCCCCTTTTTCCTTCCTTGAATTCTGAAAAGCTGCATTCTTTTAATTGTTTAATTGTATGATTTTAATTTACGATCGGGCTAGCACTAGTGTTGTTGAGTAACTGTTGATTTCGTTCCATTAATTTTTTCATTTCTGTTCTGTTTTTAGGGTTTGCGGATATGTCACTTTTGCCACCAAGTGGGTCTCGTCATAATAATCATGCAAAAGTGGTACGTGACACGTTTTATTTGGTCCGTTAATTAACCTTTTGATTATTATTATTTTTT